TTGTCACAGATGCATTCAAGGAAGCAATATGGCTTTGAGGGATCCTGAAAGAAGCCAAATTAATGGAGGGCATTGTGACTGTATATTCTGACAGTCAAAGTGCCATCCACCTTAGTAAGAATCTAGTGTACCATGAGAGAACAAAGCACGTAGATGTCAGGTACCATGTTGTCAGAGATCTTATCTCAAGAGGAATATTGGATTTGAAAAAGATGCAAATCATTTGGCTTCTAAACTGTCGAGTATCTAAATTCTATTGTGGGGTCTTGAGAGGGTAGGTCTCATGGGGGAATAGTTACTCCTACCCATTGTGATGACTATAGTAGAAAAGGTATGGTATTCCTCCTGAAGTCCAAGGATGAAGTCTTGGCTAAGTTTAAAAACCTAGAAAGTCCTGGTAGAGAATTAAATATAAGAGTGAAGGCCCTTAGACTGATAATGGAATGGAGTTCTACACTCAGTTTGAAAATATTGTAGTGATAAGGGATTCTAAGCATAGGACTGTCAAAAAACCCCTCAGCAAAACAATGTTGCTGAGAGGATGAATAGACTTTGTTAGAAAAAGGGTGAGGTGTCTTCTATTTACTTCAGGACTGCCAAAAACCATTTGGGGAAGCCTTGAGCACTGCGGCCTACCTAGTTAATAGGAGTCATCTAATCAATAGAGTTCAAATGCCTTAAAGAGAAGTGGCCAGGAAGGAAGCTAGCCTTAGCCACTTGAGAGTTTTGGGTGTGCAGCCTATGCACACACAAATGATGGGAAGTTGAACCTAGGTCTCTTAGATTTGTATTCTTAGGTATCAAGAAGGGACCAAAGGTTACAAACTTTGGGAAAAATATTTACAGGGGTAAGAGTGATAATTAGCGAGATTAGTCTTCAATGAGAGCATATTCCCTTGCAAAACTACAACCATATTGAGGTACCTCCAACACTGATTTTGAGGGACAAACTCAAGGTAACAGCACCCAAATTAGGTGGAAGCAGCAAGATACACTGATTACAACTAGCCTAAATGAAGAAACTGAACCAAATCAGGAAATACCGTTGAGGATTAGTGTTGATTTAATTGTTGCTGGGTTGAAATCTTGGGAATTAGAATTAAAGACTTGGAAGAGAAATGGGAACAACTTGTTTGTAAAGGACAAGGTAGATTCTAGTCAATTAGGAAAGGAGGCAAGAAAAGACCCATAGTTAATGCTAGTTTTAAAGGCAAAGGTAGCAGTAGGCCTAAAGGGGAAATAAGAAAGTGTTTTCATTGCAATAAAACAAGGCACCTAAAGAAAAAAAATGCTATGAGTAGATTAAGAAATAGAAACAAACCAATTCTGAAATACAGCATTGAGATTTATGAAGCACTCATAGTATCCAATTTTGATAGTATTAGGAAATGGGTACTAGATTTAGGGTGTTCCTTTCATATGAGTCTTAATAAAGGTTGGTTCCAAGATTTTAAAGAGGATAAACAAGAAATTGTTTTCATGGGAAACAATCACTCCTGTAAGGTACAAGGAATTGGAAGTGTAATGATTAAACTGGTTAATGGGAAGGTAATAAGACTAACTAAGGTTAGATACATACCTAAATTAAAACGGAACCTAATCTCGCTGAGTACTCTTGATAAGGCTGGCTGCTGCTATAAGGCACAAAATAGGTGTACAGTAGTGTACAAAGACAATAATATACTATTTAAAAGGACTATAAAAAATGGTTTGTACATACTATGTGGTTACTCTTATCCTGATACCTTTAATACTGCACTTTCCTCTACTAACATGTCTGTTGTAGAGAAATGACACCTAAGAATGGGCCATATAGGCCAGAAAGGAATGAACACTCTCAAACAACAAGGCTATTTTGGGAATGATACTATTTTTGAATTAGAGTTCTGTGAAACCTACATTCTTGGCAAGTAACAAGATTGAGTTTCCCAAAAGGAACTCATCTAACTTCTAACTGTTAGAGTATTTACATTCTCATGGTGGGAACGGTCTCATTCTGGGGAGGTGACCGACCTAGTGGTGTGGCCATCGACCTGCAGCTCTATTGTGGTTGTGATGGTATTAGGGAAAGGATTGATTACTATTACAGCAGCAGAGGACGTGATAACAATTTGTTCAACTGATAGGCCTACCATGGTGATCAATGTGCTAATCTACAGTATTTTAAATATTGACGAGAAAGCCCAATTCTCAGATTTCAGAAGTGGACTACCTGGACGAATTTGCTCACCTAAAAGCATCAGTCTACACTTCTGATTATGATCCTGGATGAGCTGCTTACTTATTTTACAATTGCCAAGGATAGACATCTTTCGGCAGTACAGCTCACTGTTTGAATCTTATTAGGCAATGTACCATAGCAGAAGGGCTTGCCGCTACTCTGGAGGGATGCAGACCTTACCAGGTTCCAGTTCTAGAAGTTACAATTCAACAGTGATAGGAAATCGTCGGTGGAAGAAGTCATAAAAGAAGGATTTCAGGGAAATGGACCGGAGCGGCATCGCATGTGAGGAATGCAAATCTAATGGAAGTTGTGGTTACGATCTTCAGTTCATAAGACATTTTGCTAGCCCAAAGGACTATCCTTCACATCATGTCTACCCCAAAAGAGCCTTCCCTTCATCAGGTTTTTTAGAGGCATTGTTGAACTCTAACTTCATTCCTTCTTAGTCTAAAGATCTAGAACATAATAATCTACAATACAAAGGATGTCACATATCATTTATATCCCATCTAATAAATTGTCACCTCTTAACTTTTTCTCTCCTTTTAGCTTTAAATAATAGTTATAATAGTACTAATTTAATATTACTATTGGTGTATGCATTGTTGAAATGTGAATCCACTTTCACATAATTGGCCTACAATCTTTGAACAAAGGATTGGGCATGGAAATTAGTTAACCTACAAACTTTGACAAAGGATTTGGATGGTGGAAACAATAGTAATGGTAATAAATTTGAGTAGAAAAAATTGGTGGGCTAATAATTTAGGGTGGCAAGAGACCATGACCAAAGCAGTGGTTTCCTATAAATACCATGGTTCATTTCTCCAAACCCATACAACATCACACCACCCAAACACATACACTAGCCTTTCATTTCTTTGTATTCTTCCAAATTGTCTTTCCTCACTTGTGAGAAAAAGTGCCTATTATTCCCTTCTATCTGTTGTAATTCTTTTATGGTTAATAAAATCTTTCTAGTCTTGCTCCGTGGATGTTTTGTTCCCTTGTAAATAAATTGAGGGTTTACTATGGAAGTTATTTCTTTATTTTAGGATTATTTTATTTTCACATTTAAATTTACGCTGCTAGTTAGCTAGCTCATCAACATCCTAACAGCCGTATCGAGTAGCATCACGTCAGCAAATATTTAAACTATGTCATTACATCTAAGGCCAAAATCAGGCGTCATGTTGTCATACCGGCATAATGAGATGTTATATTCTTCACTCATCTCTGTTTATTCTTCTTATTCAATTCCCCATCTCCGTCTTTATCTTCGTCTCCATCATAACCACAAATAGTTTGTTTGTATAGAGTGCACGTCCCTGTCACAACTACTTTATTGTAGTCAAAACAGAACACAGTAGCATGCAAATGATTTCAAAGCAGAAGCCAACTTAATTAATCGAATCACTGGTTCTCAGTTTATATCAATTTAACAATAAAACTTATTTTTTGTCACAAGTTAATGCATGCATGTCATGTTATAACTACCAACTAAGATCAATTTAAAGATAAATAAGATTTAGAGGTGTTGATATGGATGATGTGATCCACGGTGGGTGTTCTAATTTTTTTTTAAAAGACACTTGACATTCGGTTACATGCAGGATCATTTTTGAACCAGGAAGAATCATTTCAGGTACATGCTCATAGGCAACTTTAATTTCCAATTGTAGTAACAGTAGTCAACTATTATTGCAGTTATTTATTAGTAACAGAATGCTGTTCACTTTAATCACATTAGATTACCATCCCTGACACAGGCGTTGCAGCTGTGCAGTTGGCATCTCATAATCCTTTCTATATTTCTCATGAGTGGCCGCCTTCGACGAAAGCTTAATTAGATAAGGTCGTCTTCTTCTGGAAGGATAAAACAGAGAACCATGAAAACATGAGGCCATTGTTAGAAATTACGGATCTCTTGCTCCAAAAAGATATAATTTTTCTGATATTAAAAATATGACGAAATCATTCAGCAATAAACTTGGTCAAGGTGGCTATGGCGATGTTACAAAGGAATGTTACCGGATGGTCCTCTTGTAGCTGTCAAGATCTTGAAGGAATCTAAGGGTAACGGCGGGAATTTATGAATGAGGTGGCTAATATTAGCAGAACATCCCATGTAAATATGTACTCTTCTTGGATTTTGTTGCGAGAGAAATAAAAGAGCTTCATTTATGAATTCATGCCTAACGGGTCTTTAGATAAGTTATATTGACAAGAATCTTCAAGTAGAACCCAAAATGGCATGGAAGACAAAGTTTCAAATTGCAGTTGGAATTGCAAGAGGACTAGAGTATTTACACAGAGGTTGTAGCATCAGAGTACATTTTGGCATAAAACCTCAAACATTCTTTTGAATGAGACTTTTGCCCAAAGATATATTGATTTTGGGCTTGCTAAACAATCCAAAAATAAGGAAAGTATCATATCAATGTGGATGCAAGAGGAACTATTGGTTATATTGCTCCGGAAGATATAACAGAAACTTTGGAGGAGTCTCTCACAAATCAGAGTCTATAGTTATGGAATGATGATTCTTGAAATGGTGGGAGGAAGAAAGAAAATGATGTTACAGCATCTCGCACCGGTGAAATATATTCTCCACATTGGTATTCAAGCACCTTGAACCAGGCAAAGAAGAGGACTTTAAACTTCATGGGTTGTATAAGAGGAAGAAGAGATGGCAAAGAAGATGATCTTCGTAAGCTCGTGGTGCATTCAAACTTTTCGACAGACCGTCATGACTAAGGTTGTGAAATGTTGGAAGGTAGCCTAGAAAACTTGCAAATTCCACCGAAACCTTCAACGTCTTCTCCAACAATGTCGCCGCCTAAGCACTTCCCCTGCAACATCACCAACATAAACTTGAATCACAGGAAGAAAACCAGCGGTAAGCCGGGTGATATGTGAAATGTACTTAAATTGATAAACGATTAATCTGTTCAAAAACTGAACAATTCTTAGAACTATAACTGAAGCAGAATAAATGTGTTGTCGCGGAATTTACACAGACAAGCTCGGTTTCTATAGGTTCAAGTTTAGAAGGCTTGTAAATGACACTGTCATTAGGGAGTTTGTTGGTTTGCCCGGGTAGTACGCATCAAAGTTAGATTGCATTAAAAAAGTTGGGTGTTTGGAAACGACAGGGATTATCTAATTTTGAATTTTATTCCCCTCATGCTGCAGTAATGTGTCCAAATAATCTTAATTTTAAGAAAATGTTTTCTTTGAAATATTTATAGACATTTATGTCTTTAATTTTTTTCTAAGGCAATATTATAAATTAGCCCTATTTCTATGGGAAAACTGAAAACAGATATTTGAAAAGTTTTCACTCTATAACTCTTTTTATTTTATTGACAATTTTCCATATAAAATCCAAGTCTTCATCTCTTATTCATATTTAAACACAAGTTTTTATGTAACCATCAACTCTCTACACACATCAACAACAAATTAATCAATTATCACTCATTTACCATTAAATTAAAGACGATAGTGCTTGAATCTGATATCCGATGCTATCGAGCATTATTAGTTTTCATTATAGCAGTGAATCTTAATTCTCAGGCAATGTTGGGGAATTTGGGGCAGGAGGTTGAAGAAATAGTGCTCGAAACCTAATATTTGGCAATGTCTAGGTGTCGGACATAATGAGTGTGTTTAAGTTCGTACAGTAAAGGTAATTTACCCAGAAAATTAGAAGAGGATTACGGCGTGCAAGACTTTTAAAAGAAGTTACTTTCTAATTTAAAAAAAATAAATAATAAAACATGGCTTTTAATTAATTTCATTTTTCTATTAAACTCAAACAGCAGCTAATGTCTTTTAAAAACTTGTATAATTTTTTATTTCAAGAAAAGTTATCTCCATAATAGAGGTGGGAACTGCTGGCTCAAGGACTTGTCCTATTTTGACCTAGGTCATCATTTTGTGAGGGCCCAGACGGCCTCAAGCTTGGGCCTAGCTGTATATGAAACCTGTATATGAATATATATTTAGCCTCCTAATTTATATGAATATCAAACACGTGGTAACATCAAACAACTATATATGAATCAAATAACTCTACACTAGTAATACGAATCAAAATTTATGTTGAATCTATCAGCATTCAGAACTTGAGATAAATGTTACATAAAAAGTTTTCGTTTTTTTCAAATCGGAGGAATAATTCTTTACATAAAAAATTGTACAAGACAAATTTTGTAAACAATAAAGCATGAAAATCAATTCTTTATAAAGAGTGACAAATAAATAAAAAAATCAGATATCTGTAATTCCAAAGGAATCATTAAGTTACAGAAAAGTTACATTGGCTCTCCTTTAACCAGCTACCACTTACTCAATAATATATTCAAAAAGGAAATAAAAGAGTAGTGGAGACATCAGTCCCATCTCTTACGGTATTACTATTATAAAAGATTCTTTTAAGTTGAATGGATAATTAATGCAAAAGTGAAAGTGGGGTGGCAGTAAATTCATACATCTTGAATTAATTGGTTGGATTTCATGTGGTTGCAAATATCTCGTTTCATCTTTAAGACACGGTCCAAATTCTGTGAAGAAAATTTAAACATCATACCTTAACGCTTCACGTCGACATTATTAACAGATCAATACTTCTTTTATAATATTTCAAGCACGGGAGATAGGATTGAGATATTAAGCGCGTTAAAACAAAGACTTGCTTAACTTTTCCAACTTTCCAATCTTTCCATCTTTTGAAATTCTTGTTTGATGTGATATAACTCGTGTCACATAATGAACTCAATTTCTCGCTATTTGTTTTCCCAAATCTCAATTTCTAGAAAATGACTTTCAATTTTTGCCCCTCGCCTTTCCCTTCTCTTCTATGTTTCATGTTCGTTTGTATTGTCAAGTTCCAGTTTTGTGGCCTTGTTAATGTGAAGCCATCAAACGTTGTCGTTTTGCTCTTTATTATTTGTAATTCTAACCATCAATTTGTGAATGATCCAACGGTTGAGACTTACACTAACAATCACATGGTATATAAACGTGGACTATTCACCTTTCAAAGAACAGCTCTCTCTATCGTGATCCAAAAAAAAAAAAAAAAAAGCTTTCTCTTCTAGGGTTCTTCGGTTCACTCTCAAATCTTGTAATCTTTTGTGCGATCTGTTAATTCGCAGGTAGAAGGTTGTGTTCCTTCAAAGTAGAGAAGCTAGGATAGATTTCTCTTAGGATTAAAGGGTTGTGGTGATGTATTGAGTGTCGATTTGTAGAGAGGGGTTTTTGTTATGTTCAAGTGTGTTTGTACTTTGTAAACTCTTGATAATCCTACTGCAGCGAGCCTCAGTATTCTGGAGTTCAACGTGGACGTAGCTTGTCAATCTTGAACAAGTGAACCATGGTAAAATCGTGTTTGTTCTGTTCTTGTTTGATTCTGTGTGTTAGTGTTGAAGATAGATTGTTATTTAGGCTTTATTAACAAGTGGTATCAGAGCTTGAGTTTTAGGCGCCAAATCTTAGCGTTTTCGCGAATTGGAAGTTTTTTGAAATTAAGGTTTGTCAAAATTGGGGTTTCTTGATTTGTCACACTGGGTAGGTAAGGTTCTAAATCATCAATTTATCAATCTACTTGCAAGAACTGAGATCAATTTCGTTTAGGGTTCAAGAATCAGAAATAATCTTTGATTTCTAGGGTCTACATCTAAAACCACAATATGACTACCACACGCAGGAATCTCCCAATATGATGGAAGATAGATTTCAATAGCTGGAAGAAGAAAATGAAAGCCTCCTATCACACAACAAGGTGGGCATTGCATTGGAGAAAGATGCCCAAAATGGTCCAGGAAAAAAAAAAGAAGAAGGCTGAGGTGGATGAAGAAGCAATATACCTCATCATCATGAACCTATTAGACATCGTACTGAGGAAGGTAGATGGTCTGAAACCCCATAGCTTGTGGGGTAAACTAAAACCTTATACTCATTACAATCTGCTCCAATTGTGTCTTAAAAGGTTCTCTATTTCTTCTAAAATGGATTGTTAATCTTTAGATGATAACCTAGACGAATTCCTGAAAATGACATTGATACTAAAAGGCACTATAAAATTAGGAGATCTAGCTAAGTTATGTCCTATAAATTCGTTGCCTGATGAATATTTAGTGGTGAAAATGATTATAATATACTGGAACTGTTCCAAAATGTTTCGAAAACTCTGCGTGTATTTGTGTAAATGCGAAGAATTGTGTCAATATTGAACCTTTTTTCTCACAATTCACAGCAATATGAAAACTTTGCCAACATTGATGGACTAGGAATTGCAGTTAGAAGTTTCTTCATTTTTTTCTTGACATCAACTGCGTATCAGAAGTTATCCGATGGATTCATTAAGAGTGATAAAAAAATCACACCAATAAACCATATTTTATTTTTCTCCCACAGTGAATGCACTGATGCAGCGGATACTGGACATTGAACAGATTAGCTCAATCTCTGGAGATGAATTTTGGTTTTGGAGTGTCTGCGCTTGCAGTTCCGAATTTTTGCAGACTCGTAAAACTGTAGAGTTTAAAGTGCAAATGTTATTGTACTGTTGGTCTCAGACATCAATTTTTTTTTATGATTGGGGATGTCCAGATGATCACTTTACGCGTATCTCAATTAATCTCTCAAGATCTTAGAACTATCATATCTCAATTAATCTCTCAAGACCTTAGAACTATCAGTTAGATAAAAACTTTAGTGACTACTCATATTAACAACAGACTCAGGACCTCTTGAATAATACACTCAAGAGTTCCTATCGAACTACTTTACCACTCAGAGATAGTTTCACAGACTCAATTTTAATCAAAGGGCACCGACCCCATTTCTCTCCTAAGGAAAAACTTAAAAAAGAAAGACGTCCTGATCATGAGATAAAATACTAATCATTATTTTTCTCTCTTTTGCCTGGTAATCAGTATCTAAGATTGCCCAAAAGGCACATATTCCTTTGTTCACCTTTTCAATAGGAATGAACGTCGCGGCAACTCCATTGATTCATTTAAATATGAAGCCGCAAATTATACTTCTGCATCATAAACTACGTCCAAAGATACCTGATTTTAGTTTTCACTAAATTTAATAAGACAAAGGTTAACAATTGAAAGAAAATCACTTACCACTCCTAATGTAAAAAAAATTGTTACTCACATGGTGACTATTACCGTATTACACTTTCAACAAATAGACCCCCAAATGTTTCAGAAATCCATCAATTACTACCCCTAATGCAAACTCCGTCAGTAATCTGTTAAGCAATTTACGTAGAAAGACAAGTTTACCCTTTATGTATAAAAGATGCATTATTATGTATTATTTTAGTTTAAATATAGCAAAATCCCACCACCGTCCTTCACGACATCGTTGAACAACCACCTCTAATTCACATACGTCCCCATCGGTGAAACAATCATTGCATAAAGTCCAGACAACAAAACAATTGGAAGAAAAAAAAATACTCTACGGCCACACCACGAGGAACAAATAAAATTGAGTTGAGAAATAATATTTTGGTAGGAAAAGCTTGCGTGTGGCAGGAGAGTTGCGATTGGGTTAAGGAGAAGGGGGTGGTGGTTAACGACAGAGAATAAGGGTGTTTCTGGTTTAGAACCGCAACTTATCCAATTACGAAGACCCACGATGAAACGTAACACAATTCCTCTCGATTATGTTCGACGTTGGTGAGGCCAGGAGTTTGATGGAGCAGCCTGGTGGAGTCGTGGTAGGTAAAGCGTTTTTGCTGGGCAGAGCAAGGGATGGTCGGGTTGGTGCTCCTTTTGGGGGAGGGGAAATTGAAGTGGGGAGAGGGGTACTTGTTTGCTTGCTGGGAGTGGGCTTCACAACGGAGGTTTCGTGGGGGAGGAGGAAGGGAAGGGTAATCCATCCAATAGGACCAAGAGAAATTTTAGTTTTGGGTCAAAGTCAACAAATGTTTAAAGGTCACCAAAAAGGTGAAATTATATCCTTGCCCCTTAAACTATAACAGTTTGCTAACAGAGTTAGTGTTAAGAGTAAGATTGATTAATTTCTGAAACATTAGGTTTAGGGGCCAGCCTAATTGAAAGTGTAATAATCTCTATGCGATCATTTCCGAAACATTAGAGGTGTTAAGTGATTTTCTCTCGGTATTAAATTTAATTACATGTTGAATTGTCCCTTTTACCGTTTGTTAAATTCTACGAGGGGATTTTGTCATTTCATCTGTAGGAGAGCAGATGTGAAGCCTGAAAATCTGGTTGGCACTTGGCAGCTTATTAGTCGACAATTGACCAATGCGCGTCAATGGTATTATGGTCTTGACGAGGTACCAACCTTATAATTCAATTAATTTTGCAATATTTCTATTGGCCGTTAGAACGAAGTTTTAAGTCAACTAAACAGCCAAAATCAAAGTCTATGGCTTATTGGCTATCATTTAACTGAGATTTCTCTTATATGATCTAAACCAACCGGACTCTACTCACCCAAGATTAATTCTCCCTCGAGTTCAATTTCACCGGAAATGTTAAAGTCGCCGTTTTTTCTGCCGTTGCCTTTTCTTTCTCTTGTATGGTTTATATTCATGGCCTTGGTCAAGATTCAGCCATCTTTAAGCAGCCCTTCCATGTCCCAAACTAATTGCAGTCTTCCATTCAGATGTGGAAACTTCGCAGCCGGTTATCCTTTCTGGGGAGGTGACCGACCTAGTGGTTGTGGCCATCCTGACCTGCAGCTCTATTGTGGTTGTGATGGTATTAGGGAAAGGATTGATTACTATTACAGCAGCGGAGACGTGATACACAATTATTGTTCAACTGATAGACCTACCATGGTGATCAATGCTGTAGTCTACAGTATTTTAAATATTGACGAGAAAGCCCAAATTCTCAAGATTTCAAGAGTGGACTACCTGGACCGAATTTGCTCACCTGTATATCCCAACAGCACTATCAAGTCTACACTTCTTAATTATGATCCTGGGTATGAGCTGCTTACTTTATCTTACAATTGCCAAGGATATGCATCTTCTCCGGCAGTACACTTCTCTTGCTCTGAAAATAATAGTTATAGTTATGACAATGTATCCATAGCAGAAGGGCTTGCCCCTACTCTGGAGGGATGCGAGACCTTTAACACGGTTCCAGTTTCTAGGAGTTTACATTCAACAATGATAGGAAATTTGTCGGTTTTGGAAGAAGCCATAAGAGAAGGATTTCAGGTGAAATGGACCGTGAGCGGCATCGCATGTGAGGAATGCAAATCTAATGGAAGTTGTGGTTACGATCTTCAGTTCAATAAGGCATTTTGCTACTGCCCAAATGGACTATCCTTCACATCATGTTCTACCCCAAAAGAGCCTTCACCTTCATCAGGTATGTGCCTTAAATGTTTTAGAGGCATTGTTTGAACTCTAACTTCATTCCTTCTTAGTCTATAAGATTTTAAGAACATAAAATAATCTACAATACAAAGGATGTCACATATATCATTTATATCACCATCTAATAAATTTGTCACCTCTTAACTTTTTTCTCTCCTTTTAGCTTTAAAATAATAGTTATTAATAGTTACTACATTTAATATCTACTTGGCATGTATGCATTGTTGAAATGTGAATCCACTTTCACATAATTGGCCTACAATCTTTGAACAAAAGATTTGGGCATGGAAATTAGTTAACCTACAAACTTTGACAAAGGATTTGGATGGTGGAAACAAGTAGTAATGGTAATAAATTTGAGTAGAAAAAAATTGGTGGGCTAATAATTTAGGGGCGGCAAGAGACCATGACCAAAGCAGTGGTTTCCTATAAATACCATGGTTCATTTCTCCAAACCCATCACAACATCACACCACCCAAAAACATACACTAGCCTTTCATTTCTTTTGTATTCTTCCAAATTGTCTTTCCTCACTTGTGAGAAAAAGTGCCTATTATTCCCTTCTATCCTCTTGTAATTCTTTTATGGTCTTAATAAAATCTTGCTAGTCTTGGTCCGTAGATGTGTGTTTCCCTTGTAAATAATTGAGGGCTTACTATGTAAATCTTATTTCCTGTTATTTATCGTGATTATTTTATTTTCAAATTTCAAATTTACGCTGCTAGTTAGCTAGCTTCATCAACATCCTAACAAGCATTATCGAGTAGCATCACGTCAGCAATATTTTAGAGTACATGATCATTCTAAAGTTAATATTAGATTACATGTTTTTTTAGCTATCAGATCACTCCCATTATTTTTTTAGGTAAAATCAGACGGTTGACAATGTTATCCTGGAACATTCCTTCTTATAATCTTTAAACTATGTCATTACATCTAAGGCCTAAAATCAGGCGTCACTGTATCATACCGGCATAATGAGATTGTATATTATTCTTCACTCATCTCTGTTTATTCTTCTTATTCAATTTCCCCATCTCCGTCTTTATCTTCGTCTTCATCATAACCACAAATAGTTTGTTTTTATAGAGTGCACCAGTCCTCTGTCACAACTACTTTATTGTATGTCAAAACAGAACACATTGGCATGCAAATTGATTTTCAAAGCAAGAAGCCAACTTAATTAATTCGAATCACTTGGTTCTCATGTTTTATATCATACTTTAACCATAAAAACTTATTTTTTGTCACAAGTTAATGCATGCATGTCATGTTAATAACTACCAACTACGATCAATTTAAAGATAAATTAGAGTTTAGAGGTGTTGATATGGATGATGTGATACCACGGTGGTATTCTCAATTTTTTATTAAAAGACTTGTGACACTTCGGTTTTACATGCAGGATCATTTTTGAACAAGAGAAGAATCATTTTCATAGGTAACATGCTCATCAGACAACTTTAAATTTCCAATTGTAGTAACAGTATGTCAACTATTATTGCAGTTATTTATTAGTAGCAGAATGCTGTTCACTTTTAATCACATTAGATTACCCTATCCCTGAACACAGGCGTTGCAGCTTGCGCAGTTGGAATACTGATAATCCTCTCTATATTTCTCATGAGTGGCCGCCTTCGACGAAAGCTTAGATTAGATAAGGTTGTCTTCTTCTGGAAGGATAAAACAGAGAACGATGAAAACATAGAGGCCATTGTTAGAAATTACGGATCTCTTGCTCCGAAAAGATATAATTTTTCCGATATTAAAAATATGACGAAATCATTCAGCAATAAACTTGGTCAAGGTGGCTATGGCGATGTTTACAAAGGAATTTTACCGGATGGTCCTCTTGTAGCTGTCAAGGTCTTGAAGGAATCTAAGGGTAACGGAGAGGAATTTATGAATGAGGTGGCTAATATTAGCAGAACATCCCATGTAAATATAGTCGCTCTTCTTGGATTTTGTTGCGAGAGAAATAAAAAAGCTCTCATTTATGAATTCATGCCTAACGGGTCTTTAGATAAGTTCATATATGATCAAGAATCTTCAAGTATGAACCAAAAATTGGAATGGAAGACAAAGTTTCAAATTGCAGTGGGAATTGCAAGAGGACTAGAGTATTTACACAGAGGTTGTAGCATCAGGATTGTACATTTTGACATAAGACCTCAAAATATTCTTTTGAATGAAGACTTTTGCCCAAAGATATCTGATTTTGGGCTTGCTAAACAATCCAAAAATAAAGAAAGTACCATATCAATGTTGGATGCAAGAGGAACTATTGGTTATATTGCTCCGGAAGTATATAACAGAAACTTTGGAGGAGTCTCTCACAAATCAGATGTCTATGTTATGCAACGGAAACATAAACTCTAACGCTAGCTTATTGAATATAATAATACAAGTAATAAAGCATAAATAAATTGCCAAAATTAAATGCAAAAATAAAGAATACCAGGAATTAACGAGGTTCGGTATTAAAACCTACGTCCTCGGGCGCTGCAAAAGAAAGCTCCACTATCTCCAAACAATATTACAAATATTTGGGCAATACAACAAATACCCAAAACAAAGGGGAGATATAACAAAACTTGCAAACTAAAGGGTCCTTAAAGAAAGAACCACTTGCAAAAAGAAGTAATGGAATTACAACTTGGGATGATTAATAACAATGATATGGGTCCTTATATATAGGCCCCAAAAGTTTCCCACTTTTCAATTCTAATCAATGTGGGACAAACAACCTTTTCTTGGCCTATTACATATAAGTCCCTAAACCTTTCTCCATTATCATTTCTACCCCATGTGAATTTGCTAAAAGCCATTTTTCAACAGTCTATAGTTATGGAATGATGATTCTTGAAATGGTGGGAGGAAGAAAGAATAATGATGTTACAGCATCTCGCACCGATGAAATATATTCTCCACATTGGTTATTCAAGCACCTTGAACCAGGCAAAGAAGAGGACCTTAAACTTCATGGGGTTGTTACTGAAGAGGAAGAAGAGATGGCAAAGAAGATGATCTTCGTAAGCTCGTGGTGCATTCAAACTTTTCCGTCTGATAGACCTTCAATGACTAAGGTTGTGGAAATGTTGGAAGGTAGCCTAGAAAACTTGCAAATTCCACCGAAACCTTCAACGTCTTCTCCAACAATGTCGCCGCCTAAGAATCTTCCCCTGCAACATCACCGACATAAACTTGAATCACAGGAAGAAAGCAGCGGTAAGCCGGGTGATATGTGAAATGCACTTAAATTTGTATAATGATTAATCTGTTCAAAAACTGAACCAATTCTTAGAACTGTAAACTGGAGCAGAAATAAATTGTGTTGTCCGGTGATTATTTACACAGACAATGCTCGGTTTCTATTAGGTTCAAGTTTAGAAGGCTGTGTCAATGTACACTGTACATTAGGGAGTTTTTGTTTGCCCCGGTTGTATCGCATCAAAAGTTAGGATTGCATTAAAAAAGTTGGGGTGTTTGGAAACGACAGGGACTATCTTAATTTTGAATTTAATCCCCCTCATGTTGCAGTAATGTACTAATGTGTCCAAATAATCTTAATTTTTAAGAAATATGTTTTCTTCGAACATTATTTATAGACATTTATGTCTTTAATTTTTTTTCTAAGGCAATTATTATAAATTAGCCCTATTTCTATGGGAAAACTGAAAACAGCCTATTTTGAAAAGTTCCACACTCTATAACTCTCTTTTTATTTTATTGACAATTTTTTCCTTAAAATAAAACCCAACGTCTTCATCTCTTATTCATCTATTTAAACACAAGTTTTTTATGTAACCATCAACTCTCTACACACATCAACAACAAATTAATCAATTATCACTCATTTACCATTAAATTAAAGACGGTAGTGCTTGAATCCTGATATTTCGATGCTATCGAGCATTATCTAGCCTTCATTATAGCAGTCGAATCTTAATTCTCGGGCAATGTTGGGTAATTTGGGGCAGGAGGTTGAAGACAATAGTGCTCGAAACCTAATATTTGACAATGTCTAGTGGTGTCGGACATTAATGAGTTGTGTTTAAGTTCGTACATGTAAAGGTAAATTAAATTAGAAGAGGATTACGGCATGCAAGACTTTTAAAAAGAAGTTACTTTCTAATTTAATATAAAAATAAATAAATAAAACATGGGCTATTTAATATAATTTCATTTTTGTGAAAGCCCAGACCGGTCTCAAGCTTGGGCCTAGCCTGTATATGAAACTTGTATATGACCAGTCCTATGCAGGCCTCATAAATATATATTTAGCCCCCTAATTATTTATATGAATATCAAACACGTGTATCATCAGAACAACTATACTTATGAATCAAATAACTCTACACTAGTAATATGGAATCAAAATTTATGTTGGAATCTATCAGCATTTAGAATTTGAGATAAATGTTACATAAAAAGTTTTCTTATTTTTTTCAAAATTCGGAGGAATAATTCTTTACATAAAAAATTGTCACAAGACAAATTTTGTAAACAATAAAGCATGAAATATCAATTCTTTTACTTAAAGAGTGCAACAAATAAATTGAAAAAGAAAAGTGCAGATGATCAATGTCCCATCTCTTACGGTATTACGGTATTACTATTATTTAAAAAGATTCCTTTTAAGTTGAATGGATAATTAATTACAAAAAGTGCAAGATGGGGTGACAGTTAAATTCATACATCTTGAATTAATTGGTGGGATTTCATGTGGTTGCAAATATCTCGATTCTATCTTTAAGACACAGTCCAAATTCCTGTGAAGAAAAATTTAAACATCATACCTTATCGCTTCACGTGAGCTTGATTAGCGACATGATTAAACAGGTCAATAGGTCCTTTATAATTTTTCCAAGCACGGGAGACAAGGATTGAGATATTAAGCGCGTTAAAACAAAGACCTGGTCAACTTTTTCCAGCTTTCCAAGTCTTTCCATCTTTTGAACTTTCTTGTTTGATGTGATATAACACACAATGAACTCAATTTTCTCGCTATTCGTTTTCCCCAGATTCTTCAATTTCCTAGAAAATGACTTTCCAACTTTTTTGCCCCTCGCCTTTCCCTTCTCTTCTATGTTTCATGTTCGTTTATACTGTCAAGTTCCAGTTTTGTTTGAGCCTTGTTAATTGTGAAGCCATCAAACGCTGCTGTTTTGCTCTTTAATTATTGTATTCTGACCATTAATTTGTAACTGATCCAACTGAGACTTCACCTAACAGTCAACGGTATATAAACGTGGACTATTCACTTTTCAAAGAACAACTCTCTCTTTCGTGATCAAGAAAAAAAAAAGCTTTCTCTTTTAGGGTTCTTCGGTTCATTCTCAAATCTTGTAATCTTTTGTGCAATCTGTTAATTCGCAGGTAGAAGATTGTGTTTCCTTCAAGGGTAGAGAACTAGGATATATTTCTCTTAGGATTAAAGGGTTGTGGTGATTGTATTGAGTCGTCGATTTGTAGAGAGGGGTTTTTGTTATTGTCCAAGTGTGTTTGTACTTTGTAAACTCTTGATAATCCTAGTGCAGCGAGCCTCAGTATTCTAAAGTTCAACATGGACATAGCTTATTCAATCTTGAACAATTGAACCATGGTAAAATCGTGTTTGTTTTGTTCTTGTTTGATTCTGTGTGTTAGTGCTAAAGATAGATTGTTATTTAGGCTTTATTAACGACAGTGGTATCAGAGCTTGAGTTTTAGGGCCATCAAATCTCCAGGGTTTCTCGAATTGGAAGTTTCTTGAAATTAAGGTTTGTTGAAAATTTGGGCTTTCTTGATTTGTCACATCCTGGGTAGTTTAAGGTTCCTAAATCATTAATTTATCAATCTACTTGCAAGAACCGATATCAATTTCATGTTTTAGGGTTCAAGAATCAGAAATAAATCTTTGATTTCTAGGGTCTACGTCTAAAACCACAACATGACTACCACACGCATGGAAATCTCCCAATATGATGGGAAGATAGATTTCAATAGCTGGAAGAAGAAAATGAAAGCCCTCCTGTCACACAACAAGGTAGGCATTGCATTGGAGAAAGGTGCCACAAAATGGCCTGAGGAAAAACTGAAGAAGAAGGCTAAGGTGGATGAAGAAGCATATAACCTCATCATCATGAACCTATCAGACAGCGTACTGAGGAAGGTAGATGGTCTGGAAACCCCAATTGCCTTGTGGAGTAAACTCAAAACCTTATAGTCATTACAATCTGCTCTTAATCTTGTGTTTCTAAAAGGTTCTCTATTTTCTTCTAAAATGGATCTTGCTAAACTTTAGATGATAACCTAGACGAATTCCTGAAAATGACATTGATACTAAAAGGCACTGACCAAGAATTAGGAGATTCTAGCTAAGCTATGATCCTATTAAATTCATTGCCTGATGAATATTTAGTGGTGAAAAATGCATTACAATATACTGGAACTGTTCCTAGTGTTGATTTAATTGTTGCTGGGTTGAAATCTAGGGAATTAGAATTAAATACTCGAAAGAGAAATGGGAACAACCTGTTTGTAAAGGACATGGTAGATTCTTGTCAATTAGGAAAGGAGCCAAGAAAAGACCCACAGTATAACTCTGGTTTTAAAGGTAAAAAGGAGGGTAAGGGTAGCAGTAGGCCTAAAGAGGAAACAAGAAAGTGTTTTCATTGCAATAAAATAGGGCACCTAAAGAAAAATTGCTATGAGTGGATTAAGAAATAGAAACAAACCAATACTGAAAGCAATTTAGCAATTTCTAGTAACAACATTGAGATTTCTAAAGCACTCACAGTATCCATTTTTTATAGTACTGGGGAATGGGTACTAGATTCAGGGTGTTCCTTTCATATGAGTCCTAATAAAGGTTGGTTCCAAGATTTTAAAGAGGATAAACAAGAAACTGTTTTCATGGGAAACAATCACTCATGTAAGGTACAAGGAATTGGAAGTGTAATGATTAAACTGGTTAATAGGAATGTGATAAGACTGACTAAGGTTAGATACATACCTGAATTAAAATGGAACCTAATCTCTTTGGGTACCCTTGATAAGGTTGGCTGCTGCTATAAGGCATATAATAGGTGTATAGTAGTATACAAAGACAATAATATACGGCTTAAAGGGACTATAAAAAATGGTTTGTACATATTATGTGGTTACTCTTATCCTGATACCTTTAATATTGCACTTTTCTACACTTTTATGTACTAACATGTCTGTTACAAAGAAATGGCACCTGAGAATAGGCCATATAGGCCAGAAAGGAATGAACAATCTCAAACAATAGGGGTATTTTAGGAATGATACTATTTCTAAATTAGAGTTATGTGAAACCTACATTCTTAGCAAGCAACAGAGATTGAGTTTCCCAAAAGGAACTCATCTGGCTTCTAATTGTTTAGAATATTTACATTCTGATTTATGGGGTCTTGAGATGGTTAGGTCTCATGGTGGGAACAATTACTTCCTATCCATTGTAGATGACTGTAGTAGAAAGGTATGGGTATACCTCCTGAAGTCCAAGGATGAAGCCTTAACTAAGTTTAAAACCTGGAAAGTCCTGGTAGAAAATTAAACTGATAAAAGAGTGAAGGCCCTTAGGACTGATAATGGACTAGAGTTCTGCAACTCTGAGTTCGAAAAATATTGTAGTGATCAAGGGATTCTCAGGCATAGGACTATCAAAAAAACCCCTCAACAAAACAGTGTTGCTGAGAGGATGAATAGGACATTGTTAGAAAAAGGTGAGGCGTCTTCTATTTACTTCATGACTGCCAAAAAACCATTCGGGCGAAGCCTTGACCACTGCGGCCTACCTAGTTAATAGGAGTCTATCTAGTTAAGTAGAGTTCAAATTCCCTGAAAAGAAGTGGCCATAAAGGAAGCCTAGCCTTAGCCACTTGAGAGTTTTTGGGTGTGCAGCCTATGCACACACAAATGATGGGAAGTTAGAACCTAGATCTCTTAGATAAGTATTCTTAGGGTACCAAGAAGGGACCAAAGGTTGCAAACTTTGGGACAAAGATGTGTAGGGGGTAAGCGTGATAATTGGCAGAGATATAGTCTTCAATGAGAGCATATTCCGTTGCAAAACTACTAACCATATTGCTGGTACCTCCAACACTGATTCTAAGGAACAAACTCAAGGTAACAACACCCAAATTGAGGTGGAGGCAGCAAGATACACTGATCTAACCAACCTAAATGAAGAAAGTGAACCAAATCAAGAACCACCTGTTGCTGATCTCTGATCAAGATG